TAAAACACGAGACTGATTAAATTTCTTTATATCATTTAAGTCTTGACTCAACTCTCCTTTTCTCTTAAGGGAATAAGTGCTTTAACTGATAAGAGTGGGTTCCCCAAGGGCTCTGTCCTGGGACCAATCCTGTTCAATCTTTTCATCAGTGACCTGGAAGAGGGGATGACAAGTCTGCTGATCAATTCACAGACAATACTAAAATGGAGGTGGTGGCTACAACTGAGGAGTAGGTACTCCAGATCCAAAAGGATCTGGACAGACTATGGAAGTGGGCCAGGGACAACATGATGGGATTCAATGTGGATAAGTGCAAGGTCTTGCACTTGGCACATAGGCATGGGCATCATAAGCACAGGTTAGAGGACAAGTGACTGGAGAGCAGCACTTATGAAAAGAATCTTGGGGTTCTGGCCAACTGTAGGCTAAACATAAGTCAGCAGTGTGACGTGTTGGTCAAGAGGGTGAACGCCACCCTAGGATGCATAGCCAGAAGTGTGGCTTATAGATCGAAAGAGGTATTACTACCATTCTATATGATTCTGGTATGTCCAGAGCTTGTGTTCTGTTCTGGATCCTTCATTACAAGAGGGATATAGCAAGGTTGGAATTGGTGCAGTGAAGGGCCACGAGGATGGTGACTGGTTTGCAGGCGAGACTGAGGTAGCTGGGTTTTTTCAGCCTTGAGCAGAGGAGACTCAGAGGGGACCTGTTAGCAACATACAGGTATGTGAGGGGGTATCACGCAGAGATGGGTCATGACCTTTTCCCTCTTCCAGTGAAGGGCAGGATGCATTCCAATGAAGCAAAGCTCAGAGAAACAAGATTCAAGGTGGATGTCAGAAAGTACTTTCTGGGAGTTAGGACCCCTAGGGCATGGAATGGGCTTCCATGGGAGGTGGTTGAAACCCCATCAGTAAGGGTGTTTAAGGATAGTGCTGGACATGCACGTGGTAGGCATGTCATGAGTGGAGCTGGCTGGAGCCAGGGGTCAGACTAGATGGGCTGGGAGGTCCCTTCTGACTAGCCTTGTTTCTATGTTTCTTTGTGTGACACAGTATAGAAGATCAAAGACATAATTGTCTTTGTTTTACCAATATTGATGGTTTACTTGTGTTAGCTACAGAACTGAACTCAAGGAGTGCTCATCAATTGCACTTTCTCAAACTGGGGTAGAGGTGGGATACCACAGGGTTCAGTCCTGGGCTCAGTGCTCTTCAACATTTTTATTAATGATTGGATTAAGAAGTGCGGGGAATTATTATCAGATTTGCAGATGGCACAAAACTGAGTGGGATACCTAATACCTTGGAAGACAGAAAGAAGTTTCAAATTGATCTTGATATGGTTGGAATGCTGGGCTGAAAACCACAGAATGAAATTCAGCAGGGATGAATACCAAGTTCTACACTTAGGAAAAAGAAACCAAAATGCTTTGCTACCAGATGGGGAATATGGGTCTCAACAATACTGCAAGTAAAAAAAAGGATCTTGGAATTGTTGTGGATCAAAAGCTAAATATGAGCCAACTATATGATGTGGTTGCAAAAAGGGCAAATGCTATTTTGGGCTGCATTATCACAAGCATCACTTCCAAAACACACAAATTACTAATTTCAATATAAACAGTACAGGTCAGACATCACCTGGAGTACTGTGTCCATTTTCTGGACAGTTAACCTTTAAAAAGATGCAGAAAAGTTAGGATGGGTACAGAGGAGGGCAACAAGAATGATTCAGGGACTGAAGGAAAAGCCCTATGAGGAAAGATTGAGAGAACCGCGCATGTTCTGCCTCAAGAAGAGAAAACTGAGAGAAGATATGATAGCACTATACAAGTACCTGAAAGGCTGTCACAAAGAAGAAGGACAAGATAACTTCTTATTCATTTCAGAGCACAGGACACAGAATAATGGACTTCAGTTGAAAGAAACCAGATTTAGACTAAACACAAAGAAGAATTTCCTGACTGTCAGAACACTACAATGGAACCTATTACCTGGGAAAGTTGTGTGCTCTCCCTCACTGGATACGTTCAAAAAGCATTTGGACAGTCATCTAAATAGGATGGTGTAACTTAGTGTCCTGCAATAGCAGGGGGTTGGACCCGATGGCCCCTTCCAACTATACTCTTCTATGATTCTATGAACAGAATGGGCAAGTATAACTTCCAAATCAAATAAAGTTCTAGTTCCCTTCTACTCAGCATTGGTTAGGTCTCAGCTGGAGTGCTGTGTCCAGTTCTGGGCAACACGGTTTAAGAAAGATGAAGACAAACAGGAAAGGGTTCAGAATATCTAGGGACTGCAAGCAAAGCCCTATGAGGAGAGATGGAAAGAACTGGGCATGTTCAGCCTCAAGAAGAAAAACTGAGGGGAGATGTGATAGCACTCTGCAAGTGTTTGAAAGGCTGTCACAAAGAGGAACACCAGGATCTCTTCTCTATCATTCCAGAGTACTGAACATGGAATAAAAGGCTCAAGTTGCAGGAAGCCAGTTTCTGACTGGACATCAGGAAAAACTTCCTGACTGAAAATATGATAAACAAAGCATTTGCCTAGGGAAGCCATGGGCTCTCCCACACTGGAAGAATTCAAGATGCAACTGGAGAGCCATCTGAGAGGGATGGTTTAACTTGGACTCATGCACTTGAGCAGGGTGTTGAACCTGATGGCACTCTCACCCCTTCCAACCCCAGTATTCTATGATTCTATCCTGGCAATATCACTGAGTTCCTGACCAAAAAAACTCTTCCAATAAACATTTCAGTCAGTAAGATGGTTTTGCATGCTCCTTTCCTTCTGCATGAAGTACACAGCTGTCTTTGCTCCTTTTTCTCTTTCACTCCACAGGTAAGATGAAGCAGGAGTAGCATCACTAAGCCAAGTGCTGGCTGAGCCCATCCTAGTACCTGTGAGTGCCAGCATCAATGAGCCAGGTGGAGGACCACTCCTCAACCTTGTGATTTGGCTGATGAGCTGGGAGCATGGTTTCTGCTGCCAAGAAGATGGCAGCTTAGAAAAATTAGTTCTGCTCTAAACCCAAAAAACTGTATGATATAAGTATACCTATTTGTAAATAGAAAAGAAAAACACCTTGAACTATTAAGACATGGGAAAACCCAAGAGAAAAATACCAGAGGAGAATATTCTGGACATCTTCATGCACGAGGAAGATCAAGGGGATTTTACTGTCTTTTCAGAAGGCACAGACAGTGAACCCATGGCATCCAGTAAGAAGCAAAAAGGGGAGGGAAAGGGTATTATGCCTAATGAATCTAGTAATTAATTGAAACAGCTTATAAGACAATTAAAAAGAGATTTAAAAGCTGACATGAAGAGTGTTATCACTCCCCTGAAACAAACCCTGACTGGTGAGCTGGCTTGTCTGTGCACCTATTTTCCCAGGCTGGGAAAGCTGCTATATAGAAAGCTGCCTGAGGCTTCTCCTGCCCTGTGTTTTCCCTCCTTGGGGAGAAATCAGGAGGGGTGAAGCAATTACTGTGTGGCTTGCCTTCCTAGCTGAGAAGGAGCATCCATAGTGGACCAGAGGGGATTGTCTCACCCCTGCAGTCCGGCTCCATTTCATTCAGCATTCCTGAGCCTGATACTTGTTCCTGTAAGCTATTCCAGTGATACAAAAATGGATCCCTGAATTGATGTGTTAGGGGAATGTACCACAATTCCATGCCCTAGGTAGGACACCACACAAACTAGGTAGCCAGTACATCTGACACTTCTATACACAGTTGACATAATAACCCACTCTCTTTCAGCTATGAACCCTCCTTCTGTAATATGTGTATAATAATAATAATAATAATAATAATAATGATAATGATAATGATAATGATAATGATAATAATATAATTTTGAAATATATACAAATAGGTGTGGAATCAACTTTTTTAATGAACTAAGCTTTGAGTTGGAAAGGCTTTTTTCCTGTTCCCATCCACACAAGTGCTTAGAGCCAGTGTGCATGGCCTTTTTGGTTCTGGGCCACATCTGATAGTACCAGGCAGGGTCTACAGATCAGATATCACAAGCAAGGGATCCCCTTGATCATCAAAGGAATTCCTGAGGTTTTGCTTAGCAAAGCTACCAAAGGAATTCCTTATGTATTTTGATCTCCCCTCAGAGGCTGGGATAAGGAAGGGACAGGCAGTGCTGCCATGGCAACAGATATATGGGGTTGGGAAGGATATCTGGTGGGCTGTACTTTTTGCATTCCTGCGTTAGAAGGGGAATCCCAGGAAAGGGGAAAGTGCTGTTCCATCTCCTTAATCCTCTCACAAGGCACATAGGGATGGGTGTCATAAGTACAGGTTAGGGGTCAAGTGGCTGGAGAGCAGCACTTGTGAAAGGGACCTCGGGGTGCCTGTTGACTGCAGGCTAAACATGAGTCAGCAGTGTGATGCGGTGGTTAAGAGGGCGAACACCACCCTTGGTTGCATAGCCAGAAGTATGCTTCTAGATCGAGACACGTATTACTACCCCTCTATACGACTCTGGTGTGCCCGCAACTGGAGTATTGTGCTCAGTTTGGGGCCCCTCATTACAGAAAGGATATAACTAGGTTAGAGTCTGTGCAGCGTACAGCCATAAGGTTGGTGGCTGGATTGCAGGAGATGCTGTATGAAGCGAGACTGAGGAAACTGGGTCTCTTCAGCATGGAGAAGAGGAGACTCAAAGGAGATCTGTTGGCAACATGCAGGTATGCCAGGGGATGTCACATGGAGATGGGTAGAGACCTGTTCTCTCCTGCAGAGGATGGCAGGACACACTCCAACAGAGCATAGTTCAGGGAACCAAGGTTCCATTTGGATACCAGGAAGCACTTCCTGACAGTTAGGACCTCGAGGGTATTGAATGGGCTTCCATGGGAGGAGGTTGAGGCCCCATTGGTGAGAATGTTCAAAGATAGGCTAGACATGCCCATGGTGGGCATGTTATAAGCAGAGCTGGCTGGAGTCGGGGGTCAGACTAGATGGCCCAGGAGACCCCTTCTGACTTGCTCTGTTCCTCTGTTTCTAACATGCAAAGCAAGGGGGGAAGGACAACTAAAAAGTAGCTATCTCCTCCCCACATGCACACAGTTTATAGACATTTAATCTTTTTTAAACAGCAGAACCACTCAGAAGAGCCTGCAAGTATATTATAGAAACATAGAAACAATGTCTCTCTATTATGTCTCTCTACTGAAAATGAAAATGCATGTATAGACAGTCAGTTAAAGGTTTGTCATTTTCCATTCTTCCCAGAAGGCAGAAAATTTGTTCAAGGAGATGGGAATAAAATTTGAGACCCACTGAATGAAAAACAGATGTCCTACCCGATTAACAGCCTGTGGAATCCGCTCCCTCCCATTCATTTTCATTGCCCTTTGATCTAGAGGGAAGTGTCTTGGTCAAGATTAAGGTCAAAGCTTCAGTGCTTGCCCACTTGCTTGTTAGTATAAAGCCTTTGATTCTATGTCCATGTAATGAGCCTGAATGAGAGGGCTGAGCCATGGTGCAATATAGCCAGAAGTAAAGACAAAGGCATCAGAACTAAGAACTCACATGAAAACATTCTTGAGTCCAGGAAGGTCTTGTTGCTCAAAAAAGGTTTAGGTAGAACAAGAAATCCTTATTCTCCTTCTTGCCCAGGAGGATCCAAAATCAGCTTGTAGTAAATGGGGTCCGCTTGGGCTCTAGGGATTCTGCTGCTTCTGAATGTCACTGAAAATATACAGCATTTCTGTAATATAAAGATTATTTATATACCTACTCAGGCTGATCATAAGGTTACCATTCAAGTATTAACACAGTAGTATATTCCTGTTCCCAGTCAGATTTCTAGAGAAATCCTAATGCCATAGGATTTCCTGCAGAGAGCAAAATCAACTCTTTGCCTACCTTTCAGACACTGTTCCAGCACAGACTAACTGCCCTTTACAGTACAGGCATCATTTGTCCCTTTCTTCCGCCTGGGGGAAGAGGAAAAAGAAAGATGAGTCATCTTCACCCATCTCCTAAGCTTTCTTGGGCTATCTTAGCCCCTAATGAAGCACATCAACAGAATGTTACGGCAATCTTTTGTCATGTCTCAAGAAATCCACATTAAGAACACTACCAAAAATCAGTAATCATAGAATTAGAAGTGATCCTGAATCTCCTTACATTCCAAAGCACTAACTGTAAGTGACCCCATGAAAGCCATTCAGATCAACCATAAGAATCAAACTTATTTCCAGTTCCAGCTAATTATGGAAAATCAATAACTGGCTTCAGACAATATGACAACCCATACTGAGGGGTTAGAAACATACAAACATAGAAAATGGAGCGAGTCAGAAGGGGTCTCCCGGGCCATCTAGTCTGACCTCTGGCACTAGCCGGCTCCACTCACGACATGCCCACCATGTGGACGTCCAGCCTATCCTTGAACACCCGCACTGATGGGGCCTCAAGGACCTCTCGTGGAAGCCCATTCCACACCCTCGGGGTCCTGACTGTCAGGAAGTGCTTCCTGGCATCCAAATGGAACCTTGGTTCCCTGAGCTTTGCTCCATTGGAGCGCGTCCTGCCTTCCTCTGCAGGGGAGAACAGGTCTCTACCCATCTCCATGTGACATCCCCTCACATACCTGTATGTCGCCAACATATCCCCTCTGAGTCTCCTCCAGGCTGAAGAGACCCAGTTCCCTCAGTCTTGCCTCATAACCCATCCCTGGCAAACCGGCCACCAACCTTGTGGCCCTGCGCTGCACTGACTCCAACCTGGCTATATCCTTTCAGTAATGAGGGGCCCAAAACTGAACACAATACTCCAGTTGCGGGCGCACTAGAGTCGTGTAGAGTGGTAGTAATATCTCTCTTGATCAAGAAGCCACACTTCTGGCTATGCAACCAAGGGTGACGTTCGCCCTCTTGACCACCGCATCACACTGCTGACTCATGTTTAGCCTGCAGTCAACCAGTACCCCAAGGTCCCTTTCACAAGTGCTGCTCTCCAGCCATTCTTCACCTAATCTGTACTTATGACACCTATTCCTATGCCCCAAGTGCAAGACCTTGCACTTATCCACATTGAACACCATCCTGTTGTCTCCTGCCCACTTCCATAGTCTGTCCAGATCCTTTTGGATCTGGAGTACCTGCTCCTCAGTTGTGGCCACTGCTCCAGTTTTAGTAGTGTCTGCAAATTTGATCAGCAGACTGTTCACCCCTTCTTCCATGTCGTTAATGAAATGATTAAACAGGATCGGCCCCAGGACAGAGCCCTGGGGGACCCCGCTTGTCACTGGCCGCCATCCCGATGATTCCCCACTAATGGTTACCTTCTGCATTTGGTCAGTCAACCATGCCCTAATCCACCGGACAGTGCTTTGGTGTATCCCAAAACTCCTCAGTTTCTCCACCAGGATATCATGGGGCACTTTGTCAAAAGCCTTGCTGAAATCCAGGTATACCACATCCACTGCATCCCCTCCATCTAGCCATAGCAAAACCTTGTCATAGAATTTCACATGATTTGTCTGGCAGGATCTGTTTTTGCGGAAGCCGTATTGTGTGGCTGTCAGCCTCCCTTCCCTATCTAGCATCACTAGATCTCTCTCTATTATGAGCCTTTCCATTGTTTTTCCTACAATGGACGTAAGGCTAACTGGTCTATAATTCCCCATGTCCTTTCTTCTACCCTTTTTGAAAATTGGGGCCACTGACGCCACCCTCCAGTCCTATGGAACTTCACCCGTTCTCCATGAGGTCTCAAAAATGTAGGCCAGCGGGCGTGAGAGAGAACCCCTGCCAACTCTCTAAGTACTGTCAGGTACTGAGGAGCCCTGAGGAGCCCCTCGACTTCAAGGGGGGTGACTCTAATCTGTGCCCCTAAGTCCCCGGCCTCATCTAATCTCCTATGCGGATATCCCCCGTCCTGCTTTGGGGAGAACACAGAGGCAAAATAGTCATTTAGCATCTGTGCCTGTTCCCTCATATCAGTCACTGGATCTCCTTCCTCATTTAGTGGTCCCACCACTTGTCTCCCCTTCCTCTTTCTATTTACATGCTGAAAGAAGCCCTTTTTGTTGCTCTTGATATTCTTGGCAAGTCTCAGCTCATAATCAGCCTTAGCCTTGCGAAGAATCCTTCTGCAACGGGCCTCCTCCTCCCGGTACACCCTTCTGTCTATTTTCCCCAGTACCCATTTCCTATGGAGGTTCCTCTTTCATCTAATCCCTCTAACCACCTCCTTTCACATCCATGGCGGCGCTCTCCTCCACCTCCCCACCTTACTGACTAGAGGTATCGTTAAGGGTTGTGCATGGGTTCCTCTTCCCTTCCTAGTAACAGTATTGCAGCATACTGCTTTTGAGCATGAAATTTTTACTTAGGTATCCTGAAAATTACTTGTTCATGAAAGTCATCAATACCTCTACTGACAGCAAATTCTATAACTTATGCTGCAATTCTACACAAATGGAAGTCCCATTACTCCCAGGTAGATGTTTATCTTTATGTGTACCTGCAACTTAGATTTTGGTTTCTTTCACACTAAAAGTGCAATCATATACATAATTACTCAGAAGTAACCCCTGCTTATTTTAATGGAACTTACTACCAGGTAGGTCTCCACATTCAAAGGAAACCAGCTGGAACTGCACAAATTACATACCAGAAACTATTCCTTGTTGCTGTTCCCCTAAACAGTGGTTTGATTAGCAGATCATGTACCTTCTTGATGACTTGCATACACAAAGCTGCTTCTTCATAATTTATGAGCAGGGCAGCATATTTTTTTCAGGTTAGTAGAAAATCCTGTATGGTTTATGTTCTGCCACCTTAAAATAATAGTACTTACTACTTATACAGCCATTCACATACATTATATCAGTCATTCTTACAAGAACTACCTCTAAAGTTTGCCCTGCATCATAGGGTGACTTTCACTCCAGGCTCACATTTTGTTGTGTTACTTACACAAAAGCAGACCCACAATCTAGTCCTAAGACCTCGTCAAATGCATGGTAGAAACAATTTCCAGAAACCAATTTCTTTCAGTAAAACCAAAGAAGCTAGGGACATAAATGACACAACCATTAGCCATCAGGGTGCTTTTGTGAGTCCACACAATGTAAACATATTGGGACACAAATTAGATTAATTACAGGTCATTTTAATATGTTCCGAGAACCAGGAAAAGGAGCAAAGTCCTGTAGAATCCATTGAGGAAAGCACGGTGATGCTGCTTTTGTTGATGTGTGTAGAGGCAGAAATGATTCAATCTTAAATTACTTTTATTCGCTGAATCCTGATATCCATTCTCATGCTCATTTTAACATGCTGGGGAAATATATTGTCCAACAAATGCCTTTCCTATGTAACATTTGTCTCTCTCAAGACAAGTTTTTTCAAGGATGACCCTGCCCCACCAAAACAGCCAGTTAGGCATTTGTTACTGTTCTTATTTAATGCAGCATGGAGAATAAGGCTAATGTCTTCAGTGGTGGATACTTTTATGAACATTAACAAGTTACTACTAAGAAAACGCTATCCTTCCATGAAATAAGAAATCTGCTGCCATATTAAACAGAATGCTAACTCACAGTATCAAGTAAACTGATTACCTTAGACTAAAGCATGTAACTGGAACAATTGGTGTTCAACCAAAGCCATTGATTGGCAAAACTAGATTATGTGGCTACCAGTGATTCATGTCTGATGTGTCCATGAAACTGAGCTCTGAATCCAGAACAATCTCTAATTCTAATCCAATCCACTCTTCTTCACTCTGCACATTAGCATGGGAAGTAGATTAAGGGATGCAGAAAGGACACATTTTAGGATCTTGGAACATCAGTGTGTCAACTTCATTTAGTGCTTTTTTACTTTAATTAAAAATTTCACATAAGGCTTTGCATTTGTTTGAAGATTTAAACCACACTGGGTTGGATCCAGTGATCAATCCATAAGTGGGGAGGCAGAGGATTTTCTCCCCACCAGACCCTCAAGCTCCCTGAAAATGCTCCCCCAATGTGCAATGGACTGTCATTTGAGAGGGACCATATGAAAATGAGTGAAGGTGCATCTGATTTTCTGTATGTTCCTCCCCTCCCCTACCAGTCACTTCCTGTCCATTCAAGAGCACTCCTACCTTGTTGAAAGCATTTGGGGATTGCTCCAGAGGCTGGTGAGGAGGCAGTAGAATATCCAGCCTCTCCTTGCCTCTCCTGGTATTTTTATTTTTTCCTAATCAAATGTATCAGTCCAGATATTTATGGCTATTGGGATAACAATTAAAAAACCCTTTTTGGTTGTTTTCTAAATGCTTAAGAACAATGCTAAATGAGGATATTGTGTTCTATCTTGAACAAGGATGCAATTATGTGGTCCTCCAGATGTTCTTATTGTGAAACTTCCTTCAGCCCTAGATAGTGTAGCCACTGGTGATGGATGGAAGGACTGATAAGCCAAAAATGCTTGCAGAATCACACTCTGTAGCCCTGATTTAGGGCATCAGAAAATCACATCACTGCCAGGGGCAAAATAATTCTACAATCCAATCTTTCCCAATGCAGACTGTTGACTGTGGCAGCTTTTGATTTAAGAGAATTTCAGAGAATTTAAGAGTTCAGCCTCTCAACCCAGTGATCTGAAGCATATTCAGATCAATGATCTATCCAAAACAGGAATGAAAAAGGCCTCTGTGAAGGAGTAATTCTTCCTCTTATAGACTCAGAAAGTAAACTATTTGTGCTGGAAGAGTAATGTGTATTCCCAGATTTTAAAACAGTAAGAAGTATCTCGTGGCTATCAAAAGTTTGGGAAATAATGGTATAAAATTGCATAGGGATAGTTTCTTATATAGGTTATTTAAATATTTATAAGAATTCAGTGTAAAAATGAAAGTTGACTGGGTGCCCAGCACCGCAAGATTCACATTTATTTCATTTATACACTTTTTCTACACACAATTAGGGTTCTGTAAGAAACCAAGACAACAAATGGCCCAGCTGGCATACACAATTATCTTAAATGCTTTCAGTACAGTGACAGGGCACTTTAATGTTCTGAGTCAGTGCCCCGGATTACGCAGACCTATGAGAATGTTGTCAGAGAGAAACACTTTAACTAACACTTTTGTTGATGAAGTCAGAGACAAACACTTTAAGTAACACTTTTGTTGATGAAGCCCAGGTAAAGTTTGGCCAACTAACCGGAGAAGAAATTGACCCAGTTTCCTCTTGTGCTTTCAACAGAAGTGTAAAATTCAAAAACTTGAGGTTTGATGCTTTTCAGAGAAAGAAAATGAACATTCTCATCTTACTAGTGTATACCTACCAAGCTCTTGAGCAAACCGTGCTAGTGTGTATACCCATCCACATTACCTGACAGCTCAGCTGTCGAGTCTCACTAATTCAGAGTAGACTTTACCCTCTTTCCCACAGCAATCCCAAAGCAGACTTACTGGGGAAAAGTCAAGTGTGATGAAAATGTGGATTTTCCATCCATAGAGGTTTTGAAGAAAGGCACTTTGCAGACGCAATATAAACAGTAAATGCTGAGATGTCTGTAACTTATTTATTTTCCATATTTCTTTTATCCAGTTTACCTTCATACAGGTTGAAATAGAACTTCCAGTCTCAAAAGAAGAAAGGGCTCCTGCACCTTGAACAGTCATGGAGAAGCAAGGAATTTTAACAAGTACAACCCTGCACACATGTGAAGAAGACTGCACTTGCTGAAATTTCTTCATTTACAAAACAACTAAGAAGTACAGGAAATTGTCTCACTTCAGCATTTGATCACTGTAGAGTGAGAGGAAAGAATACATCCTTACATGCATGAGGAGGAGGAGGAGGGGGGAGAAAGAGGCATCATTCCTTTCACAGATAGCTATTACTGTTATGACTCTGAAAACTGTTTGAATACGTAGTCTAAGAAGATTTTAATGACAGCATGTAGGTGAGCTATGTGTACTCAATGCTGTAAAAATAAACAACATACAGCCCTGACATGAGAAGGGACATAGATGTCTTTTCAGACCATATACATCACAATTACTGTGAAAATCCTGGTTGATTATTAAAGCTTAAGATAAATTTGGATTATTAAGAACAATCAAATATATGCAAAGCAAAGAACTATACTTGGTTTCACTGCTTCTTTTCTCAGCAGGTAATAATTGCATTGATGATGATGATGAAGATGAAGATGATGATAACAATAATGATGACAGAGCTAGTCCTGTAATAATAATGTTATTCTCCCCTCTTCTTCATACTTTCAGGTTGCTTAATTTCAAAGCATACATCCCTGTTTTGTTAATATCCAAGAGAAGTTTAACAACAAGAATGCCATTGTCTTTTCTCTTCCCTCCCCTTTTTCTTTGAGGAAGCTGAGTCAGTTCTTCCTCTCTTCAGAAAAATCTGAAAGGATAAAGATAAGAAAACCAGGATAATCTGGTGAAGGCATAGTCTGGCATGGGCCAAACCCACACAATAACACTCTTGGAGCCATAGTGGAACTGTGTATGTTACTGTCATCAGTTGTTTTGTGCTCTCTGAGGCACTGACCGATAATTATCAGTACAGAACCCAAAGTTCCTTCCCAATGTTCACCTTAACAATTGGACACAGGCTGGCATAACAAGGAAGCCATCATGAGTGGGAACTGGTCATCCAGATCATTGATTCCAAACCCCACTGAGGCCCACCAATGTGGTCAGTGGGAGCACAAAGGTACTATTGTGTGATCAGCAGTGCTAGACAGCTGTGTGCAGATTAATCCCCACAAGAGAGGAAATGGTACCATATCTCACCTCTACTATAAAGAAAAAAGGGTATCACCCCTCTCCCTATAACTTATACAGTATTTTTCTATCATCATCAACCCTTATATTGACTGCTACATTTATCTTCATAAATTCTGGCAACTCTCTAGCATTTTCCAGAGCAGTTGAAGAAAAACTGATGCAAAAGGGAGGGATATGGGAACAAAAGAACAGTGGGTGGTCCTAAGCCAAAGCAGAGGGCCTTCTGCTGCAAGTAACTCCCAAGGATTTGTTTGCTTGTTTATTGCATTTCTATACCACTCTTATACGATGTTCTGCATTCAGTGGCACAGGACTCAAATAGCTATATGGAGCAATGTATTGTTATAGATTGGAAACCAAGCTGGATGGCCTTCTGGGACTATAATCAATTTGGTGATATCTGCTGTGGTGAAACCATTATGACTGCTGGAGACTATCTTAACTATCCTGGAAAATATCTCCTTTGTTACAGAAATTGTCATTAAATTGCCCTTAATGGGCCTGCTGAAGAAGCCACTGCAAGTGAATTTCTCTTTGTAGCTTCTTGTTGTGGTGCTGGCTATTGTTTTGAAAATTCAAGCCATGGTGTTACGTATGAACCCAGCAAATGTGAATTATTAGGATGGTTAACAAACCACCTAGAATTCTAAAACAGGACATGGATTCTGAGTGACTTGTTAACCATCTGAAAAACCACTGCCCACAGATGTATTTGCATGTAAGAAAAAGCTATGTGGTTCCTCCCATGGCTTGAATATTTGAAATACAACATGGCAAATTCCACTGGGAAATTCACCCAGTGGCTTCCCTTACCTGTGAACCAGGTCAATGACTAGGGATTAGCCAAAGCTTGTTCTGGAAAAGGGAATGCCTGAGTTCAGAAGGAGATACTGAAAAAGAGACACACTGGAATTTTTCAAACAACACAGCAATCTATTTTTCAGCAGCAACCAATGGTGGAATCACCACAACTCAAACTTTGTGCATGGGTTATGACAATGTCGGAACGCTGCTCTCTGCAAAAAACTCATGGTACTACCTGTGTCTCTAAGGGTCTGATTATGGAACCTTTAGGCAAAATTGGGGATCTACACGTATACTCATTTGTAAATAATTATGCACCTGAAAAAACTGCAATATGTCTCCAGTGTTCTAATTCCAAAGGAAATTCTGTCTCCCCAAAAGGAGTAGCATCAAACTAGAAGTTGGGTGATGAGGAAGAGTACCACCTCACACAACAAATAATTGTTAGAGGAATGTTATAGTTAGCAGAACAAGTACTGCTGCTTCCTTTTGCAACCATTTCTGTGGTATCCATAATTGCTTTTTTACTCCACTTGGACAAAGAGCAATTTACACTGATATAGTGTGTGTGAGACAAGTAAAAAGGGAGGATGGGAGAGATCCCACAGTCCCCTGTGTGAACTGCAAGTGCCATATCCTGGTCAGCATGGATTTCAGGAATCTTATCAGGGAAGGATGGGGTTGCACCCAGCTAGCACAGAATCTGGCAGCCTGAAAGGAAAAGTAAAGTAAACCAAAGTGGCAGCAGCAGCAGGGACATCTGAGTTGCTCTCTAGGAGCAACCTCTTATGGCTGTATTTGTTCTTTTAAACACACCACACAAAACCTGTGGCAGCTCTGATTGCAGACTTCCCACTCTCACATGTGGTCTGGTGTTTGTATGTTAGTTTTTCCTCTATTTCAGATCACACCACAATGACCATAAGACTAGTCACTCACCAGCAACATTTTGTTCATCTTTCAGGATGTTGTCAGCATCAGAGTGCTTCTCAAGGGGTACTGTGTGTTCTACCTGTGACTGGTAGTCAGAGTTTGCATTTGGATCTGCTGCTGTCAGTTGTTTGGCTGGGAATAATGCTGGCACTGCAGCTTTGGGACCATAAAGCAGACAGGAACCAGGTGGCACACTCTGGTTCTCACTGTATTCTGCCTGCTCAGCAGAATAACAACCTCCTCCTGAGCTGAAAAATGGCATCTCGGAGCAAAGTTGATTGGCAAATGAAGTTCCATGAAGATAAAATTCATTCCAGGGCACTGCCTGGAATGCAGGGATGTAGCCTACAGAGAAAGCAGAAGCGGGATGAGGGGTGGGGTGGGAGAGAGAACAGAAATCATAACTTTTCATAAAAAATAGAGTGATGAAAGCTAAGTGGTTTACCAGGAACAGCTGATTGTGTTTCATGGGAGCTTTTTGCAGAAGATGTAGCATGAGCCAAAAAAGATCCTACGCTATTATAATCTGAAAAGAACAAGGTAATCATATATTTTACTTTATTATATTATGCATACTTTATATCTCCCTTCAATTATATTTTCCAGGTACAAAAAGAATAAAATAATTCACAGGTAAATACAAAAACAGATTAAAAGCCACAGAATCATAAAGCAACATAAAAGATTAATCAAGATTAACAACGTGAATAAAAAGCTTAGGAAACATAAAAGAAAAAAGAGTCTTTGCCTGGCACAGAAGGCAAAATAAACATAGAAACAGAGTAAGTCAGAAGGGACCTCCAGCTCCAGCCAGCTCCGCTCATGACATGCCCACCATGTGCATGTCTAGCCTGTCCTTGAACACCCTCACCACATCCCATGGAAGCCCATTCCATACTCTCAGGGTCCTCAGGGAGTACTTCCTGGCATCCAAATTGATCCTTGGTTCCCTGAGCTTTGCTCTGTTGGAGTGCATCCAGTCTTCCTCTGCAGGGGAGAACAGGTCTCTACCCACCTCCGTGTGATACCCCCTCACATACCTGTATGTCGCCAACAGATCCCCTTGGAGTCTCCTCTACTCCAGGCTGAAAAGACCCAGTTTCAGACCCATAAAGTATGTACCAGGCAAATATCTTTGACAAGAAGGGGCTCCACTGCTATGTAAGCCCTCTCTCTGGAGCCCCTCTGCCTCATCTCAGGTAGTGAGGGCACCTGCAGGAAACTCTCCACTAATGTACTTAATGTATTGATTGGTTCATATGAAGATAGGTCATAATCTAAGCCTGATCCTAAGCCCTGATTATGTTATCTTCTTTATTTACAGAATGTATATATCACTCTATATCTACAAAGTGCTGAACAATAAAATAAAGGAAAAATTATCAACATACAAAGGTAAAATATTTAAAATCAGGCATCCATCATGAATTTTCTCCTCCTACCATCCAGAACAGACAAGGAACACATGACCAGGGTTTTTTTTTCCCTCTCTCCATGTCTCCTGCTTGCCAGTTCTTTTCAAATGAAATAGTGATTTCAGGAGCCAATGGTGCCAAACCAAGGTATTGTCACAGAAATTAGAAGGAGAGAGTAATATACCCTCTTTCTAAATAGGCAGCCCACCACTGCTAGATGAATTTGATGTCTGTGTCTACAAGGCCCAGACTGATAGGGAGTGGAATGGCTTTTACCTGTGTGCTGAACTGGAAGGAAACTTCATGGTAAATACCCATCTATATTTGGTGTGACCCCCCCCCCCCATCAAAGGATGCGCAAAAGCAAACAGGAGGGACAAACCTGTGCATAAGGAAACTCTAAATTCAAAGGCTACTTTTGCAAAAACATGTTTGTCTAGTTTGTAATGCTTAATGAACCAAGTTGTCATCCTATGATTTCAGTGAACACCAGCTCTTGTGATCCATGAAAAAAATTAGGAAGGGTCTAGATGACATGTGTCAGAATCCTTACTAAATGAGATGGTCTCTCATTAAGAGTGATCAGAAACAATACCTTAGGAAAGGAAACAGCCAAACAGTTTTAAGAGGCTTGGAGACTTTACATGTCCTGAAAGTCCCACAGGTTCCATGTTAGGAAATCATGGAGGGCATGTCAGCATCACTCCTTTGCACAAACACTGGAGATGAGGATAGGAAGTAGGTGGACTGTGACATGGAAAGAGCCACACCTTGTCAATGGAGCATGTTCCCTTTTAATCTCCTAAACTTGTTGGGAAAAAGTTCTTTTATTCCTTAAGTTTAATTTTGTCCTTTTAATGCTTCTTTCTGCCCCAATGAGGAAATGCCCTCCAATTATCTCATTTAGCCACTTGGTTAATAATCCCCAGGGAAGATCTGAAGGACAGCTTCCTAGGCCAAAAGGGAGTGATGAGGACTATAGCTGCTCATTCATTTTGATTTTTCTGAATCCTCTAGACAGGAGCAGTGCTGGGTGAAATGCAAAGTTTTCCACTGAGCTGGGGAACGTGTCCTCCACTGCCAAGGTTAGCTATCTAGAAAAGTAGTGCAGTAGCTAACGGTTGCCCTGTCTTGGATACAATGCCAAGCAGAATGACACCAAAGCAGCAGTGGCTATACCTGGTTGCAAATGGTTCTCTCAAAAACTTCTCATGCTCCAGAGGAAGGGTAGCCAACCACCAATCTGTTTCTAGGGATTTGGACCCTGGTAAGTGGCAAACTGATCTGGATGACTTTGATATGACTTACCAACTGATTTTCTTTTCTTTTTCAGATTGAGACTGCTTCTTGTTCACTGGTGCCATCTTGTGGCAAAATAGAGAAGAGGCTGAGTGGGGGCAAAGACAAGGAGTTTTTTCTTTCTTTCTTTTTAATTGAGGTAAAACAAAAAGAGAAAAATGTCAAGGATAGAAAAGGCTCAGGAATTCCAGAAAACTGGCAAGACAGAGAGGTAAATGTTATTTTCTGTCAAGTGGTCTCTGACTTATGGTGACCCCATGAATGAAAGCTCTCCAAATAGTCCTGTCCAAGACAGCCCTGCTCAGCTCTTTCAAGTTAATGGTTGTGGCTTCCTTTATGCATTCAATCCATCCTATATTTGATCTTCCTTTTCCTCTTCTACAAGAAATCAATTGGCTGAGAGAAGCCAGGGTGAAGGTAAAAATCCTGTTCCTGGTCAAAAACCTAAGAGATAACTGAGGTTGGAGGTCTCTTTGAGAATTATCAAGGCCACACTCCTCCTGTGCCTCACTTCATACAGGAGGATTTGGCCCCATAACCAACCCAAAACCATGATTAAAATGGGTCTAAGTCATCAGTATCTTCCAAAGAGTACCTGTAGTTGTTCTGCTGTGACTCTTCTCTCCAAAAAAAGGGGTATTCACAGCAGGGGTCTGTGGGGAGTTTCTTTAGTAGTAGGAACAGCCCCTCATATGGGGGTGCATTTACCACTCCCTGGACCCACCTAGTCATACCACGTTGCCAGGATCATCTTATTCAGGAAAGGCAAGGATCAAGAGGGTGCAGGGTCAGTAGCACCAGGCCCTGACAGTTTACACCCGAGAGTACTTAGAGAGTTGGCAGGGGTTCCCTCATGCCCACTGGCCTACATTTTTGAGACCTCATGGAGAACGGGTGAAGTTCCAGAGGACTGGAGGGTGGCATCAGTGGTCCCAATTTTCAAAAAGGGTAGTAGGAAGGACATGGGGAATTATAGACCTGTTAGCCTTACGTCCATTGTAAGAAAAACAATGAAAAGGCTCATAAGAGAGAGAGAGATCTAGTGAAGCTAGATAGGGAAGGTAGGCTGGAAGCCACACAACACGGCTTCCGCAAAAACAGGTCCTGTCAGACAAATCATGTGGAATTCTATGACAAGGTTTCAAGATGGTTAGATGGAGGGGATGCAGTGGATGTGGTTTACCTGGATTTCAGCAAGGCTTTTGACAAAGTGCCCCATGATATCCTGGTGGAGAAACTGAGGAGTTCTGGGATACACCAAAGCACTGTCCGGTGGATTAGGGCATGGTTGACTGACCAAAAGCAGAGGGTAACCATTAGTGGGGAATCATCGGGATGGCGGCCAGTGACAAGCGGGGTCCCCCAGGGCTCTGTCCTGGGGCCGATCCTGTTTAATCTTTTCATTAATGACATGGAAAAAGGGGTGAACAGTCTGCTGATCAAATTCGCAGACGACACTAAAACTGGAGCAGTGGCCACAACTGAGGAGCAGGTACTCCAGATCCAAAAGGATCTGGACAGACTATGGAAGTGGGCAGGAGACAACAGGATGGTGTTCAATGTGGATAAGTGCAAGGTCTTGCACTTGGCGCAAAGGGATGGGTGTCATACGCCACCTTTGGTTGCATAGCCAGAAGTGTGGCTTCTAGATTGAGAGAGGTATTACTACCACTCTAGTGTGCCCACAACAGGAGTATTGTGTTCAGTTTTGGGCCCCTCATTACAGAAAGGATTTAGCCAGGTTAGAGTAAGTGCAGTGTAGGGCCACAAGGTTGGTGGATGGTTTGCAGGGGATGCTATATGAGGCGGGACTGAGGAAACTGGTTCTCTTCAGCGTAGAGGAGACTCCGAGGGGATCTGTTGGCAACATACAGGTATGTGAGAGGATGTCCCACGGAGGTGGGTAGAGACCTGTTCTCCCCTGCAGAGGAAGGCAGGGCATGCTCCAACGGAGCAAAGCTCAGGGAAAAGCAGGTTGCTTACCTGTAACTGATGTTCTTCGAGTGTACATCTGTGCAGTCACACATATGGGTACTGCGCCTGCGCAGTGCCTGTGGCTGGAAGATTGATAGCTAACGGTTTTTGGCGGGAAGCTCCGCTCCCCTCCCCCCTGTGGCCTATAAAAAGCGGAGCATCCGCCATTTTGTTCAGTCTTTGTGACCGAACGTACGATATCTTAATAATTTTAAATCTTTTTTTTTTTTTGTCGGTACCGTAAAAAAGGGGGATGGTCGGTACGGAAGATGCCTTTCTCATCGACACCGAGCTATCGATGCATCCACTCACCGACACCGAGCGGGGCCGGCGGGTGGGTTGTGTGACTGCACAGATGGCCACTCAAAGAACATCAGTTACAGGTAAGCAACCTGCTTTTCTTCGTCATGGCCTCTGTGCATCACACATATGGGTAGATTAACAAGCTTACCATCAAAGGAGGAGGGAAGGTGTCCTCATTGTAGGACGGAGGAGAGAACAGCTCTACTGAAGAAGCAGTCCCGTCAAGCCCGAACATCGAGACGGTAATGCTTGGCGAAAGTGCAGGGATTCGCCCAAGTAGTGGCTTGGCAGATGTCATCAATCGGTACCCCCGCTGTGAATGCAGACGAGGCTGCAACAGCTCTAGTAGAATGG